TAAATGAAATGGACTCTTTTGAGTATTACAAAGCATATCAAGGCCCAGATCATTCAATCTGGGAGCAACCAGGATGTAACTGGACACAAATGGGCCTCCTCAAGCTCCAAAGTTCTACCTTTTTGCATCTTTTAGTAAATCTAGAGTCAAATTCAAGCGAGTGTTGAGCTGGATTCTCAGTTTTTTTCCCATTCTGTCGCAGGACACTAAACTAAAGGGGTCAGAAACGATTCCAGCCTCGAATAAAATCCAGATTTTGTTTCATTCCAGCCACATCTGACAGAAAAGGGAGCTTAAAAACTTCAGCCCAGTTTGAGAACAATTCTGGCCGAATTTTTCACCCTTGTTTTGGCCCCATGTTTCTGACCCAGTTCTGACCCCCCAGAACCCACCAGAACCCAGTTCTGACCCCCCAGAACCCACCAGAACCGGGTTCTGGGGCCTGTTCCTGCCTGGAGGACTCAGAGGCTGAACGGGCTGCAGAGGCGCAGAGTGAAACAGATCTAACCAGAGAAAGTGGGTTTCTGTGTGTTGTAACAACCGTATTTGTGGTGTCTCTTTAAGATGCTCTATTCTAGCTGATGACGTCACACGTATGTGCCGTAGCTTCTCTGTGGAGAGCGAGGGAGAAACGTGATAGACGAACATGTTGTTTGGACTCTGTTCATTTATTTATGTTTTGATACTACAGCAGCCGTTCAACCGGGCATTATAAGGTTGTTGAAGAGTGCGTTTATTAAAGATAACACTGTGGAATTCTAGTACCAGTGTGGTTGCGGGTCCTTTTGATCAACCTGATGACTCTGCCGCCTCCTCTCCTCCCTCAAACGTAACCCAAACGTTACAGTGTGTGTCTGCCAGCTTCATGTTTCATCACTGATGGAAAGTTGTGTTTTATGTCACATGCTGATGAGACGTTTGCCTTTTTTATTTTTTATTTTTAAAGCCAAAAAAGTGCAGAAAAAGAATAGTAAAATGAATAAAATCTTTAGAAAAACAAACTTTTTACAGGAAAAGACAAAGTCTGCAGTTTCATCCTAATTTCTGTTCAACAGTAAATCTTCTAAAGTAGTTTTGTTCCAGTTTCTAACTCATTTTTTAATCTTTTGAAGTTACAGCAAAACAAATAATGAATGTAAACTTTGTCTGAAAGACGCAAAAATGTATTTTTCTTATATTAAGACTCAAATGATAAGAGATTTTGTTTCCTGTAGGAAGGATTTTATTTTTTATGGATTTTTTTTTCTGAAGCGAATAAAAGTACAAATCAACCAAAAAAGAGAAACAGCGACATACAAATCAGCCCAAATGTTCAGCGAACAAACAGAAAGACAAATCATTTATTTGTTCCTTTATGGTTTTATTTGTTCTAAAATCCAAAAATCATAAAATGAAACAATTTGTTTTCAAATTAAACATGAGGAGGGATTAAATAGATTCTGACCCTGGAAACAACAACTTTTTTCATTTAAAACAACAAAAACTGTAAATAATTTCCACATTTCCAAAATGATGAGATGTAAAATATCCTGTGATCAAAGAAACTGTGCTGGTTTTATGTGATGGGAAAGAAAAACAACAAAATACAAATACATCAGCAAACATTCAGAGCTCAGAGAAGTTCAGACTTTCTGAGGATGAAACTCCTGGTTAGCAGTGATTTCCTCCACGGCTGCACAAACACAGGAAGAAGCAGAAAAATATAAATGAACAGCAGAGACTTCACAGCAGTGAACTCTGAGCAACAAGCTGAGAGGAGAGTTCATCTGAGCTCACACAACTCTGCTGAGCATCCAGGATAAACACGGAGTCCAGCATAGAGAGGCTGAGTGAAGGTGGTCTGGACTCTGTGGAGGAGAGTCCTGGTTTCAGAGACGCTGTAGAA